CGGCGGCCCGCTGTCGGCAGCAGGCCTGCAGGGGCGCCGCCGGTCCCACGGATTCGGCGGCATTTCTGCGGGAGGTCTGCCAGTCCCGCGGTTTCGGTGGTAATTCGGCGGCAGGTACGCCGAAGTCGCAGGATCGGCAGATCACCCGCAGAAACGCCGCCGAATCCGTGGGACCGGTGGACCTCCCGCAGGCGTGCTGCCGAAGGCCACCTGACTACCGTGCTTGGGGCGCCAAAAAACAGAGCTGCCCCCGAGTGGCGCAGTGGTGCTACTGTAACTGTTTATATGTAGACACACCCTTGTTATTTAACTGTGAAGATGAGTCATGCAAGTGAACTCCTGAGTTTGCAGCTCAGAGCACATGGCAGGAGGGTGATTAAAAACCTCAAACAAAAGGAGTTAAGGATCTCTCTGCTGCTTGGACTCCAGGGGGAGCAAGGTGTTTCTAGACATATGCAAGAGATCCCCAGTTGCTTAGCCTGGGTTAGCCCTAAAGGTCAAATAGAGCTTGCTGATTATAGAAGCCTATATTACCTTTTGAAACCTAAGGCTGTAACTCATTCATGGTCTATATTCACTTACTTTAACCTTATAAATAACTCTGTTTTCCTTTTCCTATTTAATAAATCTTCATATAGTTTGCTATAGGATCACCTACAAGCGTCGTCTTTGGTGTGAGCCCTAAAGCACAATTGACCTTGGGTAAGTGACTGGACCTTTGGGATTGGGAGTAACCTGAATATTGCTGTTATCCTTGGTGTATGGGGCCAATAATCACAGAGGGACACTCCCATCACCTGGATGGCAAGACAGACCAGAGTACCCTAGGGGACAGTCTGTGACTCCATGCTAAGACTGTTCAAGTGCCTGGGGGGGTGGGGGGGGTTGCACATGGTGCAGTTGGTTGGTGAAATCTAAGTCTAGACCTCCTGGCCCATTAGGGTATGCGCCCTGGTTTGGACGTTGGCACTCATGCGGAACTTCAGAACCGAGTCAAACTTTCCAACTCTGTGGTGTTTAAGAGGGTTCAAAACTATGCAAGGGATGAAACTGCATGAAAATTGGACCCTCTGGAAAGGTCAGCCCCGTGCTCTGAATCTGCCAGCAGCACAGAATACAACCGGAATACAAAGCTGAGGCCCCAGAAGGGGCTCTTTACCTTTGTTGGTAATGTTCTTCAGTGGGGGATCTTTCTGCACAGGGCTGGACATGGCGCTCTCGGGCGCAGAAGGACTCAGCTTCCCAGTCTCCCAGGAGGTTGTATTTCTTGGACTCGACAGATAATTGATCGGATGAGAACAGTTCTGCAATGACAGAGAAGCAGGACAGAGCCCTCAGGAATCCACGACACATCAGCCTTTAAAGGATTTTGATACCGTGCATCATTTTAAAAATCTGCTGCAGCTGTTTTCTTAATGATCACCTCCTTGCCGATAAGGCCAGTCTGCAGCAACCGCCCAAACTGCAGAACCAGTGGCACGTCTTCCTCCACCCTCCCCAGCGCCGTTCAGGAGGAAAATGACCTCCCCCGACTCCATGTTCCTGAATATGCCAGGTCCATTCAAAAGACATTCCTAGGGCCAAGTTTTGTCCTACAGTGCATGCCCAGGACATCAGGGAGAGCCCCAATGTATCACGGCGGGCAGACTTTGGCTGCAAACCTGGATTTAAAGGGGCACTGTGGAACGTGATAACCCCGGGTTTTAAAGATCAAGGTCTCACATCAACCGGAGCAAGGAGAGAGGCCTTTTGCCTGGCCTTGGAGTCAGTCACATCCTACAAACTGCTCTGTTTTGTGGATCAAAACTGGGTCCACACCCACCTCACTCACACAACACACAGCAATCCACAGCTGAGGCATGATGGGAAATTTCAATGTTTGGGCCTTTCTTTAGAGGTTAGTCTGAGGGTGTTTAGACTGAAATCCCTGGAGAGACTGTGGAGGGCTGAGAAGCAGAAATCAGCATGCCCTATAGGATACACGGCTATCAGACGGGGTTGATAATCCCGGTTGGTAGTGAGGGATGGCCAGTAGATGCTACGCTGTAGATTTGGGGGAGGGGACACAAACTGGGTTTCCCAGAAATCCACCATTCTAAAAAACATCCTCTGAAACCAGCTTGTGTTTAATGAAACCGGAGTAGCATCTCTGCCTCACACTTACTGTGAACGAGAGAGCTTTCTTCTTCTCCTTCATCCTCTGTATGGCGTTCCTCACCTGAAAGTTGAGCAGGGTCGTGAGACAGGGCCAGTGCTGTTCTGATAAAACAACCACCTCCTCCGAACAAGTCAAGGGGGCAAAAGCAACAGCTGTCATGGGAGCGAAGGGCCAGGACAGAATATCAACCTTTGCATTTGCTAAGATTCTGGTTACCGGTTTCATTTCTAATATAGGACTGTTCCGAATATGGATCAAAACCCAGGGAGAGCTTTCTCTTACCTCACTGTTATAGATTGCATAGACCAGGAAGATGTACAAGCCCTGAAAAGGAGAGAAAATACAAAATATTACAGGCTTGCAATAGACTGACAAAATATGGGACCATTTTGAAACAGGGGAAGTAAGTGGGTCCCGGCCTTTGATGGATGCTGGGGCTCTGCCCACACTGGGTCAGAGTTTGCTGCTTTGGGCCACAAAACATTTGCAGAGCACCCCCCACTAGGTCTCCAGCAGCTGCCTGGCTTTGCCAACCTCCATCTGTGACTCAGGGCATCGGTAACTCTTACCATCACTGAGCGGCACAAAGCCCCCGTGATTAGCCTTTGCAGTCCGACTGCAGTTCCAGAGGAGGAGCCGTGCCCTTTGTCCCTGGAGTCTCCTTCTTCTAACACATCATCATCTTCAAGAAGTGGAAGAGAACTACTGAGACGGACTCACAATACGGAACGATGCCCTATAGACACGGCTACTGTGCCTAGCACAGAGGTAGCTCCTGTTACTGTTCCTCGTGAGGTCACCGGAACACACATGCTTCCGAAATCTCAGCACTCAGACCTGCTAGGTTTCATCTCCAAGCCAGGATTGTACTCTGCTCACAGCTGGCTGGATCTCCAAACTGATTCCACCCCAAACCTCAATCTCTGCTGCTCAACACTTGCGCCGCTCACTGCTCGGATTTTGACACAGACGACCCCCCCGTCAGGTTTGTCCCTGGGATCTCATTCTTCTAACACGCCCCCTTCAAGAAGTGGAAGAGAACGATGGGAAAGGACTCACGATACGGAACGATGCCCTATAGACACTGGCGGCTACTGTGTGTATGGACAGTCCCTAGCACAAGGGGGCCCTGCGCTTGGTGGGTCCCCTAGCACTACGTTAATAAACGCGATCCACGGCACAAGACAGAGCTCAGATGACTTCATTCAAGAGAGTTTAAAAGGAGAAAGATTCTTTTCATTCCTCCCCACCCTTTCCTTCCGCTACTATTGCAACATCCACACACACTCGGTTTTGCAGGGATAATGGCACAACCTCTGGCAGGCCGGCAAATGTGCACCGAGCACCTGCCACGCCCCGTGGCTGCTCTGTTGCTCTGGGATGGAGCTGGAGAGCAATGGCAGCCATCACCCCACTGACTCCATCAGGCCTCCCTGCCATTCCCAAGCCCAGGATTCCCCACGTCAGTCAGTGGGGAGCAGGAAAATCCTTCCGGAAATTACTGGGTGGAGCTCCACCCCCCTCAAAAGTTAAATGCGGGGAGATGACCCCGGTGTGGGAACGGCTGAAATTCGGGAACTAGACAACCCTTCCCGACAACTGAAGTAGCCATGGGCAGAGCCCGGATGGATGCAGCCTGTGTGTGGGCGGAGCAGAGCAAGGCGACAGGGCCTTTTCCTTTTCAGTGTGATCCTCTATTTGTGACAGACCACGGCAGCTGACTGATTCCAGTTCCCCATAAGCCAGGCCTGCTCGGGGGGTCCTCTGTCCTCCTCTAGAGGTGACTAGGCCAACAAGAGAGTGAGGAGCACACAGCCGTGGCTAACCCAGAGGCCTCTTAGCTCACGCAGTAGTGGCTCATGCGCTAAGAGTAAGAGGTGCTGGGTTCGAGCCCCACTGAGCCATGTCAGTATTACAGCCCATGCTAGGGAGATTCAAGGGAAAATGGGAGGCAGATCCAAACCCTCTTACCAAGGAGGAATTGTGAAACCCAAACCCACCACGCTTGTCCTCCCTCCCCACTCAGAGAGGTCTAGAGAGCGGAGGGCAAACCTCAGGCTGTCAACTCCACACAAGCTCAGCCACCACCAGCGACTCCAAAATACAGAGCACCAGTCCGAAACCTCATCCCCGGCTTGCTGCACAGCATATAAACAGCTGTAACCAGGCACAGGCCTAGAAAGAGCACCACGTAGGGGTCGAAACTGGGCAAAGCACCAGGGACTAATTACAGCTTTACACAAAAGAGTTTGCCCTTAAAGGCAGTCCTATCTGGCCCACCAGATTTATGTTATATCTGCAGGGTGTTTGTTATCGCAGCTAGATAAATCAGCGGCAGTAAGAAAAGTAATTCATCTTGTCTTCAATGAGTCTTGCTCTTCATCTGAAAACTCTTGGCAAGCGCAGTGGTAGCAATACCCTGGCATGGTGCCATGACCTGTCCTTCAAACAGCGAAGTTGGTCACTCCTACAGACCAGATTTCTGGTGCGGCTGCCAAGACAGGTCTTCCTTGAAATAATCCTTTTGTATAGAACTGGGAGGAGAGGTGGTGATGTCGGCTGGGAGGGGAGCCCGGGAGAAAGAAGGCCCAGCTGCAGAGAGACTGAATGTGGCTAAAATATGGGAGAGAGTTAAACTGGCACAAAACAAATCACAAATCCAGCCCCAGAGGCCACTTTGCAGATTCTCAAAGCACTTTGCAAACATAGCTAGGTGTGTACAGCGCCTAACACACTGGGGCCCTGACTCCTGACTGGTACAACCACAACAGAACTACTCAATAGTGAGACGACAATCACTAAAGCCTCAAACTTCAACGGTGAGTGGGTCATAATGGTCCAGGGCACTTATGTTTCCTACTCCCTTAAACATTCTCATGGCTCTTCTTGGAACCCTCTCCAATTTATCACCATCCTTTTCCATCTAGTAATGAACTCATAGAATCTCATGCACTGCTACATTCTAGGGACCGAGTGGCTAGGCAGCAGTACTGCAGAAAACGACATAGGGGTTACAGTGGATGAGAAGCTGGATATGAGTCAACAGTGTGCCCTTGTTGCCAAGAAGGCAACAACATTTTGGGCTGTATAAGTAGGGGCATTGCCAGCAGAACGAGGGACGTGATCACTCCCCTCTATTCGACATTAGTGAGGCTTCATCTGGAGTACTGTGTCCAGTTTGGGGTCCCACACTACAAGAAGGATGTGGAAAAATTGAAAGAGGCCAGTGGAGGGCAACAAAAATGATTAGAGGTCTGGAGCACATGACTTCTGAGGAGAAGCTGAGGAAACGGGGATTGTTTAGTCTGCAAAAGAGAAGAATGAGGTGGGATTTGAGGCTGCTTTCAACTACCTGAAAGGGGAGGGGGGTTCCAAAGAGGATGGATCTAGACTGTTCTCAGTGGTAGCAGATAACAGAACAAGGAGTAATGGTCTCAAGTTGCACTGGGGGAGGTTTAGGTTGGATATTAGGAAAAACTTTTTCCACTTGGAGGGTGGTGAAGCACTGGAATGGGTTACCTAGGGAGGTGGTGGAATCTCCTTCCTTAGAGGTTTTTAAGGTCAGGCTTGACAAAGCCCTGGCTGGCGTGATTTAGTTGGGGATTGGTCCTGCTTTGAGCAGAGGGTTGGACTTGATGACCTCCTGAGGTCTCTTCCAATCCTAATCTTCTATGATTGTTTGCTTCTGACCATCTTAACAAGTGATCAAGACTGCTCTGTATCTGTGACCTGTCCTCTTCATTATTTTCCACTCCCCATTTTATGTCATCACCGGCTAACTTTATCGGTGATGATTTTATGTTTTTTCCAGGACCTTGATAAAAATGTTAAATAGCATAGGGCCAAGAGCTGGGGGGAACCTGACTAGAAACACACCCAATCAATGATGATTTACAATTACATTTTGAGAGATATCAGTTAGCCAGTTTTTAATCCATTTAATGTGTGCCATGTCCATTTTATATCATTCTAGTTTTTTAATCAAAATATCAGCATGATACCACGTCAAATGCTGTATAGAAGTCTAAAAATATTTCATCAACACACTCACCATTATCAACCAAACTTGTAATCTCATCAAAAAAAGATATCAAGTTAATCTGACAGGATCTATTTAACAAAAGTCATTAATGATATACCCTCCTTTCATTCTTTATTAATTGAGTCTCATATCAGCCACTCCATTACCTTGCCTGGAATCAATGTCAGACTGACAGGCCTGTAAATACCAGGTCATCCTGTTTATCCTTTTTAAAAATTAGTACAACATTCGCTTTCTTCCAGTCTTGTGGAACTTCCCCAGTGTTCCAAGACTTATTGAAAATCAGCATTAACAGTCCAGCGAGCTCCTCAGCCAGCTCTTTTAAAACTCCTGGATCCAAGTAATTGAGACGTACTGATTTTAAAATGTCTATCTTCAGTCGCAGCTGTTTAACATCCTCCTCAGATACTAGTGGAATGGAAACAGTGTTATCATATGATGTGACTACATCATTTGTTTTTTCCCCAAATGCAGAATAGAAATATTTATTGAAGACGTCTGCCTTTTTTGTATTATTACTGATAATTCTATCTTTTGCATCTAGTAATGGACTAATACCATTGTTAGGATTCTTTTTTTCCTAAGATACTTTAAAAATTCCTTATTGGCCTTAACTCTGCTGGCCATTTCTCCTGGTGTCCCTTTGCTTCCCTTATCAATTTACTATAATTCCTAGAGCTTCTGATTTATATTAAAAATGATCATCTGCCCTTTTCTTCCATTCATTATATATTATGTTTCTATTTTTTATAGCTGCTTTTACTTCCCCTCTAATTTTTAAAATCTTTATGGCCTTCTTCCTCAATTGTGGGGTATTGTGGCTTTTTGATGTTCTTAAACAATTCCCAATTATTATTCATATTTTTCTGATTGAATTCTTCCTTGGAGCTGATTTAGCTCATAATTGTTTTTAGCTTTGTGAAATTGGCCTTTTTAAAGCACCAAGTATATCTATCACCGGTCTGGACTTTATTCTGTTTGCACATTATAAATGTGATCAAGTCATGATCACTTGTACCTAAGTGACTTAATTTTTAGTTCTCTGATCAGTTCCTCTTCATCTGTCAAGATGAAGTCTAACATGGAACTCCCCTGTGTTGGATGTAACACTTTTTGAGTTAGGAAATTATCATCTCTACTATTTAGAAATTCCAAGGATGTTTTAGTACTGGTAGCATGAGACAGTTGTTTGATATTCAGGGATGCCTCTGTGTGCGCACACCACCACTACTAGTACATTTATAGACTGTCATAGTAATAATATAGTGCTCTCCAGTCAAGC